TGCTAAAGTTTACAAAACTTTGCAGAGGGATTGGGGAACACTTAAATAAGATCTCTATAAAAAATAATTTAAAAAACTTAACCCATTCGAAAGCTATAACAAAATTTCGAATGGGTCCACATATAGCCGATTTATTGTGGTAGCATCAAGTGACGGCAAGAGGGCTTCCCAAACAGCGTTTTTGTGAAACTAATAATCTTTTTAACCTAACTCCTAGTTCATACGAGAGCCATACATGTACCCTTTCTAACACCGTTGGAATTTTCGGATTCCGATGTTCCAGTGAGGAGTTATCATGCCCGCTATCAAAAATAAGAACTTTTCTTTAATCCAATAAAACAATAACAAAAAACCAGTGAGCGGAGCAGTATAGTCGGACGGGCCCGACCATACGATACCCTACACAACTTCTATGAAAATCTAACATTCTGTGGTTCTACATTCTGAGATTGGGCAATATTTCGCGATATTTTTGACTGACTAGAACTCAGCAAATGTTACTAATAATCAGTACAGCCCCTCTCATTACTTGTCCAATTTCAAAACAGGCATGCAAAAATTCGCGGTGTTTGGGCCATAATTTCGGCCCTTTGTAGCGACCAGAAAAACCGACAAAAATAAAGTTTTTGTTCAATTTCATCCCCTAAATATTAACCGATCTTTTCCTACATGAATTTCGTGAAGATTGGTCCATAACTGTGGTCTGTATCGTGTTTACAAATTATAATGGACAGACGGACGGACGGACACGCATGTCTAGATCGACTCAGCTAGTCGAGATATAACTTAAAGGTGGGTCTAGGACCAATATTTCGCGGCGTTGCAAACTTTTGGGGCTGCACAAAGCTATAATACCCTGACAACATAGTTGTGTAGGGTATAAATATTGTAAATTATTTTTCTTTTCCTTTAAATCTTCAAACATATGTCTGCAAAGTTACAAACCTTAAAAAGCTTTGGTATTAATTTACCAGCCCATTGAAAATCTTGAAATGGGGGGTTCCCATAAATGAATTAAAGCGCAATATTTGGATGCATACTACAGTTATTGATCTACGTATTGTTATTTGGTTATTGACCTTAACCCTTCGGTCAATAACCAATATCACAATTTGATATTTCAATTCCTTCCATTTAATATTTTACACCAAATATAATACAGTGTCTTTGATCCATTTTTGTGTATAATAAAAATATAAGATTATGGATTTAAAGTATTTCAAATTATTATCCACTTCATCACGGTGCATCCATCCACTCAACTCAAAATTTTGCGCAGAGAGTCCAGATGGACCCAGGTATGGCGTATGTCATGTTTCCGATTTTGACTCCAAGAATTTTTCAATTGAAAAAAATTTAGCAAAAAACGAAGACTTTACTGATCAAACAAAATTGATTATCTTAGATTTTGAAAGTACATACATATGTATTTGTGAAAGTTATGCAATAATATAAAAACTATTTTTGTGATATGTCAAAAAATGTCTACCAAATACTAGTTTATATTATTTTTAATTTGAAATTGCAATCTTCTTTCTTTTTATATATTTAATGTATATGCATTCTATCTTAATCAAAATATAAATATTTCATCCGACAGTCTACCTACACTAAATATAATGGCGGTATTTCAACTCCTAATTATATGTTTAAAATCGAACCCTTAACTGAAGAACACTTCACAAAAAACCTACCACTAAATAAGTAATTTAATACGTCAATACAATTTTATTCAAGGTTATTGAACTGGTTTAAACTTTGATCGAACGAACGGACGATGGATGAATGAATGCATCATTAACTGCAAATTCATTTAACACAGATGAGAACAGCAGCAAAAAACAACAACAAAAAACCTCAATAACAAGGAACACGTCACCATAGGTCAGTGGTGAGAGAATGTTAAATAAAAAATTCCAAGGAACTTTTTTTTCTGTTCATGTATTTAAGTTGCAAGAAAATTTTCCACTGTTGTAAACATAAAAAACCAGCACACACTCAGATGCATTCTGCTTGAATGCAAAAGCTTGGCCATAAATACAATTTCCTGTTCAAAATAGTTGGACAAAAATAAAACCGGTTATGTGGTTGGGGTTTTCAATGTAAAATAACTATGAACAAGGGCCTTCTGAGTATCCTGCAATCAAATCGATAAAGACGCCAATAGTCTCTTGTTTAAAAACGGGGATATGCATTTGCTACTTAGTATGTGGGGAGAAGTAAAAGTTGTTTTCGAAAACATACCGAAATGCATACATTTCTTATTATTTTTTGTAAAGTTTGTGGAAAATTTTTAGAACACAAGGTGAGTAATTTTTGTAATTAATTAACCGTGTTAATTGGAAATGTAAAAACCACACAATCATGCAAAAATCAAATAACAACTAGAAATGCATACATTTTTTGTTCTAGATATCAATAAACAAAAATATTTTATTTTTCAAGTCTGTGGAAAATTTTCATAACACAAGGTGAGCAAAAGTGTTTTTAATAATATTTACAGGAAATACAATATCACAGAAAACTGAAGTAGGAACTACAAACACTCATACGAATTTAGATCAAAAACCGCTCACCGTTTCGTGAATTGAATATTTTCACATATGTTTTCTGTTATGTTGTTGTCCATGCCTGTTACATATATTGCTAATATGAGCTCTTTAGGATTGTCACTTTTAAATACTATAACGAAATTACTACAATTGTTTTAGATAGACTATCACTTAAACATAGAATTTCATATATATTATTTTATTGTATATATGATTCTAGATAAGATCCGTAAGTATTAATTTAAAATAAAACACCGCATAATAGTCCCATTTTTCAATGAATTAAATAATTAGTACTATATTTGGATGGGTACAAATGTACCACGGTTATTGATCTACGTAGGTTATAATTTTAAAAATTAAAAAAAATATTCATTTGGAAAATATTTATAATTTTTTCAATTATGGGTAAAAATATCCCTAGATTGTTTCCTCAAAATTTAATTTAATAATTTAAGCATTATTGAAAATTTTACAGAATTTTTATTCAAAAAAGGGTACAAATGTATCCGGTTATTGATCGTAGCGCTATGAAAGACCGAAAAAAGCCAATGAAAATATTGGAGCAATTAAGAAAATTATTTTGTTTTTATTTATTTTTCTATCGAGATCAGCTACATGATCGAAGTTGCAATGAAAATGCAAACCAGAGAGATACTACATTCACACCATTATGCGACATGTTTCGTATTAGTTAAGCGGCTCATCCGGCATTTTGGTCAATGTGGCTTACAAATGTTGTTACTTGATAAGTTGTATTTATGTCGAATATTGTTACGAATTTGCATCTGCGAATCAAATTCAACCGTTCGGACATTTTACATCACACCAGGACATCTCTTTTCGTAGCAGATTTTTCTGTAGTGACGGACTTTTCCCATACAACCTACAATATTTTTCTTCCATGGTATACAACTGCATATTATGCAACATTAGGAAGATAAGGATGTGACTTTGAACGCTAAGGCGCCGGACAACAATCAAGAGAAGCCATAGGAACCTGCCGGAAAGCCATTTTTTTAGTTTTATGCCTTTTAGGGCGAAAGATCATTTATGTACATTTTTTATTTATTTCTCTTTCGAGATCACTATCAGGGAGGTTGCTGGTGATATTGACATATCGTTCGGCTCATACCTAACAATTTTTACGGGTGATAAATTTTGAGAAAAAAAGTCACATGGACCGAAAAGGTTATTACATTGAAACCAAAGCCCAGTCCTCCCAATAAAAATGCCCTGAAGATCCAATACAGATAAAAGTTAAGTAAAATGTGAAGGCTTTTATCAATTTTTTCATCGATACTCAGCAATTCCTCAGAAACGCACTGAATTGTAAAAAAAATTCACTAATGGATTTTAAGTTTTTGGCCAAAAACAAAACCATTATCATACCTCAACCACGATATTCACCGGTCACCACGTGACATTTTCCCTAAACTAATGACACCGATGATAGGAAAGCGTTTTCATACGATTGAGGAGATAGAAGAAAAATCGAAATTGGAGCTTCAGGTTGGTATAGCCTGCGTGTTTCAAAACTTATTCGAGAATTAGAAAAACGCTTCATTAGATACGTTATAGGCTAATGGGGGTATATACATTTTGAAAGGCAAAAATGTGCCTCATCAAAATATTAGTTTTAGACTCCATGTTCTTTTGGATCAAATCCGTTTCAGACAACTTGGAATCGAATTACAAATGTCCGTCCGTCTATCTGTCTGGACGGCTCGAAGGGACAACCGATTTCTTCCAAACTTTGCACATCTTAATATTTCATGCAGACTTAGTTCAAGTTCGAAGTTCTGGTATCTCACTCACAAAATGGTAAACATTTGACGAATTGAACCATATTTTGCCCAACATATTATGTTTGCCAAGCCTGGATCAAGTCCGAAAATGGGACCCATTGCATAGTCGATTTGATCAATTTTAATCAAACTGAAATCTCTGCAACACTGACTGACACTTTGTTTGTTATTTGTTTTTGATCAGAAATTAAAGCTTCATTTTTGGTGAGACCTCGTATACACAATTAATGTTTCATATATTAAAAAAATGTAATTTATGTGCAATCCAACTAAATAGAAAATATAATATTTCCTCTCAATCATTTCACATAGTCGACATTATAACGCTAACCGAGTATCCTGCTGTGTTTTAAAATATGTTCCCACTGTAATTCTAGACATCTTCTTATTAAGACTAAAGATAAAAAGTGGCACAACTTCTGCTTCATAAAGAATATTGTCTTTTATTCTATAGATCATTCCTGGGAAAATTGTCTGCATTTATATATGAATATCCCTTAATTTATGTATTAAAACCGCAAATGACCAACCAGAAGTTCTTTGTGGTTTTCTTAGAATTCCCATTCTTAAGTCTTAAATTCCTTTTAAACCCCCTGAAGATTATGGAAATTTACATACATATTTCTTTTTGTTTACTTACATTGTTCCCTTTGGTACTGTCATATTCAAATTATTCAATACTGGCAAGGCATTCTTCTTTTTGCCATATGTCTTGAAGGCATGTCGTACTGAAACTGCAGCTTGGCAACTACGTTGCCATTGTCCTGTTCCGCCATCATTGTTTGTGGTCATGACTGAATCGGTTGTTCTGTAATTAGAATTAAAAAAGAAAAATACATTAATCAATCTGATGTTAAAACAGATACATAAAAATAAATATTTATATACATATGTATTTTGATTTTGTAATAAACAATTAGGAATGTGTGACTTGACATTATTCCTTACTTTTTTGAAGCAGTGCTTCGCGAATATTGATTTTCTTTGATTTCGTATCGAAAAAGCAATATGAAAACATACAAATAACCTTATTAGTTTCGGTTTTAAGCAAATCAGGACGAAAATGAAGCACAAGGGCCTGAGGTAGAAGGGCGATATGTTTTACAAAAAAAATGAGTTTGTTCAATTTAAATGAAGTCATGTCACTCAAAAATATCCTGCGATAAATGACAAAACGATAAATATTTTACAAGCACCACCAGATTCCTAATATACTCATCAAAATCTTTCAAAATAATTTGTTCATCCCCCCTAAACCATGATCTTAATTTTGCCCCGTAGTGTAAATGGAGTATAACCCTGACACATTTGTTGTGTATCACCAATTGACCCATTTCATGTGGAAAATTTAAAAAAAATATATAATAATAATTGTGCTAATTACGAACGAATAAAATCCAGATCCCACAATACTACAATTTTAATTAATTTGTCGAACTTGATAGATGACTTTATACCCTACCTTCATTCATAAAAATAATACGAGCAAGCATCTTTAAACTATATAACAAAAATTATCAAGTTTTTTATTTATTGATAGCATAACAACAAAACCAACGAAAGACCTAAGAAACGAACTTGATCTTTAGGTCAAACAAAATACATAACAGACAGATGCCGTAAACAAAACGTGCTGACATTATGGTGGTATTGATGCTGTTGTTGTTATTGTTTCTGTTATCATCATTATCATGTTCTTCAAATGGAGAAGAGAAGAGGAAGAAAATTGGCCAATTAAAATAGAAACAATACAAAAGACTTAAGACACAAACTTAATAAAAATGATGGGTAAACAAGTGATGTGCGTTCGTTCGAACGACCAACTCCGAAGAGGAAAATCCAAAAGCCAAACAACAACATAAACTTGCCCTAGACGTTAAGGTCTATCCATGACAATGTGTGTATGCTGCCCAGACGTTACGTTATATACATGAAAATGTGTATGTGTGTCTGCACATGCGTTCATATTATTAATTCCCATATCAATTATCATTTTGTTGGAGTTTTGTTACAAATACCACACAAAAACCCAAATTACTGAACCTTATTTTCTCGCGTTATCACTCAAGGTGCATTCGCCAGCATTGACAGACAGTCAGAGCCAAAGTTATAAATGATTGTTTCTTTGGTTGTCTGTATTTCTTTTTTAGTTTTTGACAGTAAAAAGAAACTAGTTCAAGGTCACGGCTATATCGTAAATTACCACCAACCAATGAACCGAACAAATATATGCAAATCGTTTTATTGTCATTTTGTTGTTGTTGTTTGGGTTATACATTTGCCGGTCGCCGAGGCAATGACAATAACAAGGTGGTGTGTTGATGGTGATGACTTTGGGTTTTGGTGGATGTCTTAAAAAATCATGAAATGAAATTTCAATAGCAAATACACAAAAATGCAAAAACAAAACTAAACCATGTCAAATTAAAAAAAATACATTTGAAATGAATGAAATAAAAATTCCAATGACCTTTTCTTTAAATAAATTCACAATATTCACCAATAAATTCACAATATGTGTTGTAGTTTATGCAAAAAATTAAAATAAATTAACCAATCACTCTACTTGAGACTAATAGCTAGCTAATTGTCCATAGGCATTTAATTTTGTTATTGTAGAAGATTGTAGGTTTGTATGTACATAAGTTTGCGTTTTTGGTAGATGTTAGGAATTTATTAAATATTCCATTGATTTGTTTACATTATTTTTTAAAAGCTGCTATTCAAAATACTTATTGATTTATTTATATTATCACGTTGTTGATGAACATCATCATCATCTGTTGTCATAGCGTCTTAAATAAATATAAATTTTCTTAAAATCAATATTTACTTTTGTTGTTGTCAATATATGCAAAAATAACGTATTATTTTTTTAATTTGATAAAATAATATTTTTGTGGAATAAAAAAAATAATTTTATACAAAGGAATTAATAATATAATTTTTAAAATTAGAGAAAAAAACGAGTTAGAACGTTGTTTATTTCGTCCACCACGAGATGGACATTGAAAATTCTTAAAATCGATCGAAACGTGTATTAGGGGTATATGCCAGGGTAATTTTTTGGTTAAAAGACTTGACACCCAAAATATCAAATTATAGCTATTTAGTTTAAGAAACGTGGCAGACTCCGCAAAATAACGATTAATAGGAGGTAACGTAGTATGGGGGCCACCTCAATACATTAGGAATATTTTTGGGGGATTTTCTATACACTGAGCATCTGAAATACTTAATTACAGTCAATTCGATTGAAAAACGTTTCTAAATTCTCAAAAGTACCTTTCTATCTTTAAATATGGACCCGTATTGATAATATTTTATTTAACATTTGGTAGAATGGATATAAGATAATGGAAAAAACCCAAATTCTGATCTTAAAAAAACTAGAATGTCATGGACTTCCTGTATTTATTTTACAAACTCACACTCAATATTGCATGAGCACCTGGCACCTGGTTGGGCGCCACACAATTTGATAATCTCTCAAAAGGCTCGTATTTATTGGTACAAAAAAAATTGGAAATAATACGATCGCTGTGATTCAGAGGATATTTATAAGTTCGTTATAGGTAACGAATCATGATTCTATGCGTATGAGTCCGAAACAACACATCAATAGATGGTGTGGGTCTTCGATGATGAATCAAAGGTAACGAAAGATGTTCAGGGAAAAGCACTTCCTAGGAAAAATTGGTAATGGGGAGACTGTTCTGGTTGAGACCGGAGCGGTCAATTATGAGTGGTATACCACGATTCGTTTGTCTGAAGTGTTCCAAGATATTCGAATAACACATAGGCTCAAACAGCGCATTTTAAACAGGCCATAACGTGGGATCCAATGGCTGTCATGATATCCAATAACTTTTTTATTCCGGCATATCAAGAAAAAATATGTGGTAAAATATTTTCGTCATGTGAAAAAATTGCCCCCACAATTGGTCTGAGCGAATGAAAATGTGTATAAATAATGCTGCAGAATTGTTACCATTTTTGATAAAAAAAAAAAACAATTTCATTTTTAGGCCATAAATATTTGTAGTAGGCCATAGTTCCAAAAACAAAAAAAAAATGGCTATAATATTATATTTTAGTTTTTAACGATAAAAAACTTTTTTACAGACGAATTTCGGTGGAGGGCATACAAATTCGGCACCATAACTTCATATTGTTTTTATATCCTTCACACATCGCTACGAAACATCGTCGTTTCGGCAGTTTTAAAAAATTGCTATATAGCATTTAAAGTTCTTAAATATTCTTTTTTTGCACAGTCCCGCTACAAAGTTCCTGATTTTAAACATCATACCTGCATTGTTGGCTCTCAGAGGGTAAAGAATGTCGTCAATAAAAATTGTTCGTTTTATATTGCTCAAAAACGATCCCACCCAGTTTAAAAGATCCCATATTCATTTTCAAATCGCAGTGGCCTTAATTTGTTATTTAGAGTTCTGAAAGGGTATATATAATTCAGAAGGTGCATTTCCATCTAGGTCCATTCTATCCATTTGAAAATCCTTTTAGCATTTTTCAACTAATGTATTTATAATTTACAATAGGTCTATCAGAGAAAATAGGTTCCTATTCTATGAAATTAACTTTGTAGGAGGTTTTCTTTTCAATTTTTACTCATCTTCCACATTTCTGTATTTGATTCATCATTTTGTATCAGTTTTTCTGCAATTTATTTTATAAGCACATTCGCTTGCATAATTTTTTAGAACTGCACAGTATAATTTGAAATATACATTATTTAACTAAACTATATTTTTCTAAAGGAAATTCTCCGTTAGAAGTAATTTTCTTAACAATTTCAAATGTTTATTACTTAATTTCAAATGTTTATCTAACAAAATTTATGTTATATGAAATGTCAGACAATTATTATTTTTTTAATATCACTTGACCACATTAACATTTGAGCCAAACTCATGCACTTCATCATACTAGACAAATTTTTGCTGAAATTTATAATTATTTTTTATTTCAATATGTCAACACCACATAATTAGTTTTTAAAATTTATTAGTTTTATTATTTGTTGAAGTTTTTTTTTTATTTTTTTAATTATTCACACTCAAATAATAGTCATATTTTATTTATTTTTTTTTTAAAGAACCGCATTTTAGAAATAAATACGGAATTTTAAAGTAAAATATATCCACAAAAAAATTCTCACGAGAAATATGATATTTACCGGGAATTTTTTGTTAAATAAATAGAAAAATTGTTTAACAAGCAAATAGTCAAAGCAAGTATAGTATCTTATTTTTTTGAATAAGACAATCACTTCAACACATCAAAAAGAAGACAAAGAAGACTCAGAGAAAAAATAACGAAAAAATATTGACACTTTTAGTTGTTAACACTTCACACGTTGAACTAACAACAGCCGCACCGATGAAGGCGAGAGTAACCGAAAAAAACAGTGTTCAAGTTCGTTTCTTAAGTTTTTTGTTTCTATTAAACAAAACTTCTTTAACTCTTAGCCACTATGTACACAGAGCTCTATGAATATCATTTGAGATTTGCTTAGGAGACTTTTTGGACTGGAGATTTTTTATTGTCTCAAAAAATGTTGTTGTTATTGTTTTCAATGTGCGTTCAGAGATTTTATTTAACTAACGCAAATACAATGATGAAATTGCGTAAAAACGATTTTTGTTTGTTTATTTGCACTCACACTTAATACAGAGATATATACAGAGAGCATGCCTTATATTGGAATAGAGTACACCATGTGCAAATGATGGAGAATAAATAGATTTATGTATATTTGGGTTTTTTGTGTTTTGGTGTAAGTGT